CATCTCCCTTCAAACCCCAGTTTCATACAAATTGTTCCTGTGAATTTTTTAGTTTCTCTAGTTTCAGATAGAAATACAAAATTGGGATGGTGGATCCTAATGGATTCCTTAAATTGGAAAACTTTCGGAGGTCCCTCCAAACCTCTACAGTTTTACAAAATAGCCTTCATTGATCAAGTTACGGCCATTTAAGGCTGGCTAACCCACCAGATCCATAAAGCTTTTTTTTAATTATTAATAGAAAAATTGACTCTCTTCTTTGTTTGATCCACCAAAATCTCCTCTTAAGTGAATTCCTCCTCTTGTCTAGACCACGTCAAATCAGCAGGGGCCTGAGTTATTTTCAACTCGTTCTGGTTTCTCTTCAACCACCCTTCTTTAATAGTCTAACCTTTCCAAACTTTAGCTGCCTTTTTCCCTTATTGTGATATATTTTCACCATAAGACTCTGTTGATTCCCTTATCTCCTTCTCCCCTGTTAAATCTCCATAACCACTTCAGTACTGGGAGACCGTTCAACTTCTCTTTCTTCTACGTGGATCCCATCAGTTAGCATATGAAGAACAAGACTAGAGTTATCATTTGATGTTGATTGATCTTCTGGAATTTCCTGCTATTTCAATATGATAGGTGAGAAGCTTCCTGCCAAGATATCTCTACTCAAATCTGCTTCAGGATCAAAACACATGTAAACTCTTCTAGGGATTGTTGATGTGGGGCAGTTTGTTGATGTGCACAGACTATTTCATTTCAAGTCATTTGAGGGATTTGAATTATTTTGGGAGCTGGAATTTCTGTTAGTTTTGTAACTTTCAGTTTCCTTCATCCAATCCCTAAACTGTCCTTCAGAAACTGTTCCATTTTCTCCAGAACCCATTTTTAAGAAACAGTTTTGCTATGGGGCTATCAGATGGCTCAGCTTATGGAGTCATCCATAGTTATCCACAAATGGTGTATTGACACGTGTCCTGCAATAAATACACATTGGATATGTATCAATACATAAAGATATAGATGGTTCGATAAGGGAACCATCTGATGGCTCCATAGCGTTTCTGTTTTAAGAAAATCTCTCCGAATGTCCCACCTTGCCATAGTAGTAACAAAAGTTAACAAGCTTATTATACTTAAAGGTAACCCCTATTTGCTGGTTGAGTAACTTAATATTAGCATATCTTGGCAGAGGCTCAGACAAATCTATAGTAACAAGGAGTATAATAATGCTACCCTTTGATCCCCCTGCTTTCAACATTATACCGTGGATTGAGTTGGTATTTTGTTCATGACATAAATCCATTTGCATATAGTAATGAAGGTTTTAATTGTCAACAAATCGAGTGCAAACGAAAATTTATGGTTTGCTTGTTTACAAAAATACAAAAAAAATAAAAATAAAATTCAAAATCTAACTCCACTTTAGTTCAATTTCACTACCATCAATATTATCAGTGTTATTAAATAATATCACCAAATCATTATTGCAAATCACATAAACTTTAATTCACTATTCATTCACTACGTAATTTAATTATCTATCATTTTACATCAAACCAATTTTAATCATTTTATTTAAAATATTATTTAATTCAATCTTTAAATTCCACTAAAAACCACTCATACTACATTTTTTAAAATTACCTTTATTAAATAAAAAAATCAATCAAATACCATTATATCTATAAACAAGCAATTGATAAAATTTCTTTTAGGCATCTAGGAAATAATCGATTATCAACCATTGTCACTAAATCGCAGAAAATCCCGTCTCCCCCAAATCTCTCTCTCTCTCGGCGTCCATCTTTTCTCGTAGGTAATCCCCATCTCAGCCGCCGTCCGTCATCGTCGGTGGATGGTCTCTTCTACTTATCCATGGCCGCGCTGCCCCTGCTCTCTGTCTGGTCATCACTGGGTTAGGGCTAGGGTATTCGGCGGAATCATTTTCTGTTCGAAGGTCGCTGGATTCCAGTGGTTTCGGGGCATGGCGGGGTGTGGTCGAGCGTGGATGATGCTTGTGTTGCTCGAGTCGGCTTTGGTCGGGGCGCCTCTTCTTGGCCAGTTTTGGAGGGTTGCCTTTGGTGGTCTTCCAATTTTCGCAGAGGTCTGGCCGCCGGCTCTTCGATTGTGCGGGGGTGTCCCGCGCTTTCCTTCTGAGGTACTTGCCTTCTTCTGGTGGTTATTCTCTGAGATAATCTCGCTGCTCTACCTAATCACAGGTCCTTTCTTTCATTCCCCTCAATGGCCATTTACATGTTCTAAACCCTTGGCCCTGTTAGCTCATCTTCGACTGTTTACTCTGGATCTTCTTCGGCCGAATTTCTTTCTGTTGATCCTTATTATAGAAGGTTGTTTTATCACAACTCTGGAAAGTACCTCAATGATCCGGCTTGTTGGCTTTACTTAAACGCGATCTAAAATCCGGGGATCAGGAACTTCAACAAGTGTTGCGGTTTCAAAGAAGAGAATGAACAATGACAAGAAAAGCGGTTGGTTAATTCAATCAGTTCATCGATGGTCGGCAAGTATGATGGTCCTAATGATGATTCTACATGTTTTTCGTGTATATCTCACCGGTGGATTTAAAAAACCTCGCGAATTAACTTGGGTTACAGGTGTGGTTCTGACAGTATTGACCGCATCTTTTGGCACTGGATCTATTGTGGATGTTCCTGCGGGAAAGGCTATGCTAGGGCGTGTGGTAGATGCCTTGGGATTACCTATTGGAAGAGGGGCTCTAAGCACTCACGAGCAAAGACGTGTCGAAGTGAAAGCCCCTGGAATTATTGAACGTAAATCTGTGCACGAGCCTATGCAAACAGGGTTAAAAGCGGTAGATAGCCTGGTTCCTATAGGTCGTGGTCAATGAGAACAGGGTAAGTTGGCTGATTCAAGAAGCATACTCAACGACGAAAGAGCATCTATGGTAGCACATTACGCAGGGTCAATACCCACCCCCGCGAGAGGAGAGAAATGGGTATTTAGAGAATGCATCAGGGGAAAAGGAAAAAACTTGCTAGTGTAGGAAGACCTCCTAGGGATAAGAGACATAGGGCTAAAGAGAGAGCCAATAAAGTATCATTCGTACGAAAGAAAGATCTACTCTTACTTTAATGTTAATGGGTGAACTACTGAACGAACCGAGAACGAGGAAGGTGAATTAAGCTCAAATGCAGAAGTGGCAGGCAAAACGACTCTGTATAGATATCATGATCTACATCCAGAAAGCCGTATGCTTTGGAAGAAGCTTGTACAGTTTGGGAAGGGCAGCTCTTTTCTTCACGCATTCTTGGATAGTACCACGGGTGATAAGCCATAAGGACTTTAGGGCAAGGAAGTCAAATTGCTGATGCGGAGAATGCCCTCTTTCTCTTTAAAGGATCAAGAGCCTGGAGGGATAATATCAACCACTTGACGTCTATCCGAAGGATCTGTTATGGATATTTCATATCCCCCCCTTTCTTTTCGTATGATTTTACTTACTATGCCCGCTCCTGTAGCATTATAAACTGTATTGTTACTCTTGCTTCCGTCGGGATAAATATGACCCCTTCCCCTATTCCCCCTACGTATGTAGGGTATCTTAAGAAGTGAACATCTTTCTTAGTGGTGGGGTCGGGGGAAAGAATATGAAAGGTGATTTCACTATATTTCTGACCGGGGACAGGTCCTACCACAAGAATATTTTTTGTATTAGGGCGATAGCTCTGAAAAGTAAGGTGACTATCCAAGAATTTCAATGTGCAAATCGTCGGCCCATATTCTCAAACTTTTTCTGATTTTATTTGGGTGTTTTTGCTTGAGCTGTACGAGATGAAACTCTCATATACGGCTCTGAGAGGGGGATTTTCACCTATCTCAATAAAGTCTATGATTGGTTCGAAGAACGTCTCAAGATTCAGGCGATTGCGGATGGAATATGCCAAGAAAAAACCCGATGCCGGTGCATCTTCCATTTATACCTTCTCATCCTAATCCAAGCCAAGGGATGCTTAGCCTTCTGCCTGACAACCATTTCCTTGAACATCTTACTCAGATATTTCTTGACTAGTTGGAGAATGATTCTCGATTGGATCAGATCATCGCGAGAGGGACAATAGTTCTTTCGAGTCTCTTTCGACATCAATAAGAGATTGCCAACTTCTTATTCTGATGATAGGAATCTTCCCTTTATTAGGTGGCTATAGCATAACGAAAGAAGTACGTTATTCTTACGTTATTCTTTAATAAGTTGGAAGTTCAGTAAAAAATAGAAAAATAGTTCAAACTTATATCGTTGACTTAGAAGTCCTTTCGTTTCATGTTGGAGAGTACGCTATCCCGGAACCTGAGACTTTAGGCGATCAAATTTATATCAAGTCATCGGTTTCCTTTTTTTTTTCTTTTTTCTCTTTTAGTTGATCTTAATATACCCCGTAGGCTGAGGAGCAAAAGGAGGAATCCGCCCGAGGAGGGGCTTGCATCTGATTAGCTAGTTGGTGAGGCAATAGCTTACCAAGGCCATGATCAGTAGCTGGTCCGAGAGGATGATCAACCACACTGGGACTGAGACACGGCCCAGACTCCGGACACATTTGGCATGGTGCTAGAACCTTGTTCAGAGATGTTTTTGCTGGTATTGACCCAGATTTGGATGCTCAAGTAGAGTTTGGAGCATTCCAAAAACTTGGGGATCCAACTATAAGAAGACAGCCAGTCTGATACAAGACTGCCACTTTTGTCTCTCTCGCCTTTCTTTTTTGAGTGGAGGGGAAAGGTTCTACTGTAAGCCTGTCCAGGAGGATGACGAGGTGTTGAGCATTCTCCGGTGCCATCTTGACCTTCTCGAGTCTTTCACCTTAGAAGAAGGCTCTCTGCGACCCGCTCTCACTTTGCTCTCATCTAGCTGTCAGCTTTGGTTCTTGTTCTAGGTTGGGTGTCACTGTTTATTATTGAATGTCCCATGAGGGGCGAAAGATGCTCGACCAAACAAACGAAGCGAAGTGAAGGAAATGAGAGCTCAATTACATCGACCCTCAGTTTCAGTAGCTCAGATCAGTTGTAGCTAAAGCTTCGGTTCGGTCAGTAAGCTTCGGTGAAACACCTTTTCTGGTGTCGAGGCGCATAGCGCGCAAGTAGGGTCCTCGCCTAAGAAAGATAGTCGATCCTTGGTACGGAGACGCCCTTGCACTCCAAGCCACAAGATGAATGAATGCCTCGGTGTATTGCACGGTCCCCATACAACTCCCGTCCGCGCAGGAAGCGGTGCACACAATGCGAGAAATGAAAGGTCGTAAAGGTTATTTGGCACTTAAAATTGATCTGGTTAAAGCTTATGATAAGCTCAGCTGGGATTTTCTGGATGATACACGTCTCTGTGGGCCGAGGAGAAAGGGGGCTCGACGTATGCCTGTCACGCCCAGATTTTGGACACATTGCGTGATATTACTCTTCTATGACTTCACTGCGCTTCTAAAGTTGGATCGACAATGTTGAGTCGACTTCAAGGAGAGGAGAAGAGTGAAGAAGACTATCTTGCACCATGCTTGATTTTATGTTGAGCTGACTCCAGTTCGACGTCAATCACCGGGCGTTGAAGTAGCTCCTGAACAGACTCCAAAACGGTCGGGCACGATCTCAAACTTCTAGGGCGACAAGGAGATTCCTCGACGAAGACTAGTGCTATCATTTCTCCCCAACCCCCTTTTTTTTTTTAAAAAAAAAAGAGACGGGGAACCCGGAAACTGAAATAAATAATTATTCCGATGGAACCTTCTCTTCACAGCCCACCTAACAGAAGCTAGAAAGGTTATTGGCCCGAAAAAAAAAAGAAAAGCGAGCTGGAAATTCGGCATCATATCGGTTAGCCAAACCAGGCGAGCTGGAAATTCGGTATCATATCGGTTAGCCAAACCAGCCTCAAGGAAGAACTTTGATCCTTGCCTTGAACTTACTTTCGAATAAAGATTCATTTCGGGTAGTAATATGTTCGAAATCGGCCCCAAGACGAACTACCGTAGGGGATTTATTAAAACCATTGAAATCAGAATATGGTAAAGTAGCTCCGGGGTGAACCAGTTATTAGTTCAGATGCTCATCTTGGGGAGCGTAAGATGCCAGGAACCATTGGTAGTAATAATGAATATTGTGCTATGGAACATCCGAAGGGATGGGGTAACAGATCTCATTTCTAGTCTATCTCTATCTATTTCTTTTCTATATATGGAAAGTTCAAAAATGATCATATAATATCATCAAAGCATAAAGAAATCAAATAAATAATAAGAAATCATAGTTTATCTTAAAAAAGCAGAGTTTAGTTTTCATTCAGTTTGAATAAATTACATATCTCAGTTTCAAAAAATTAAAAAATTGAACAAATAATATATTATATAATATATAAACAAATAATATATTATATAATATATAAATATTTTGATTTGATTTTACATCAAAAATTCAACAAATAATATATTATATAATATATAAACAAATAATATATTAGTCCTAAAAAGACTATGAATTCGGCAACAAAACCACTCATACCCGGCAGGGAGGCTATCGAAAAGCTATTCAGTTGACTTCGAAGTCGAGTTGGAGTCTATTTCTGTGTATTCTTTCAAGAGCATCTGGATATTTTCCGGGAACCAGATATTTTTAGGCCAGGATAAGGAGGCAGCATGACGAGAGTAGCTCGAGCTAAAGCGAGAGGGACGAGACAGGAAGGGAGTTTTCCACTGTTTGAATAAAAGTGGAAAGGGAGATACCAAGCAGGATAGGTCGGAAACTGCGACTGAGACAAGGTGCCCGGCAGCCGGTTCATTGATTCACTGATTTTTTCCTTTCTTGCATCTTTCACAGGACCAAAAAGGACTTGTCACGAGCTGGATTCGAAGCCTCCGAAAAGAAACTCGAAAGAGGAACTAATCAGAGCTAGAATAAACACACTATGGGGAGCTACATCAAGGTAAGGAATTGAGTTGAGGTCTCATATCTGAAGGTGGACACTTCTTAAGTAGACTACTTCAGACGAGTGAAAGAAAGTCTAAGTCCGTAGATCTATTCCGTTACTCCAGTTCCAGTGGTAGAACCAACCTGGTGAACCAAGCGTATCTGGTCAAGCGAGGAGTGGAAGAAGAAGCTTTTAGGTGTGATCTCTCTCTGCTTTTCATAGGCCAGATGTGCCCGTAGGCTGATCTGAGGAGAGAAAAGAGGAATCCGCCCGATGACACCAGATGGGGATTGCATAGCTGGTCTAGTATATGTTCGAACTATCACGTATAGACATGGGTCTCGGATGTACCAATGAGAAAAGCTGGGGAGGGGGGCTGACACAAGGGCATAGAAAGGGAGCTCATCCTGTTTTAGGGGCGCATTGAAGCCCCTAATATTCCATGCGACTATAATCATTGTTTTGTGTGAGCGACAGCTGAGCCCTTGCCCGCGCCGAAGGTAGGATCACGTAATCGAAATAGCTCATAGAATCCACAAATCCTTGTAGTTTATAGTTGGCTTGCTTTCATTAGAGCTTTCACTTAGGATGAAACCACTGCACCCCGACTCAGTACAAAATCTTGTTCGAATTTTGGGAACGGAACAAAAGAAAGTTGGGATAACTTTGTCAGGATTGGTTTTTGCGCGCGTCTTCTCCTTGGCCTCATAGTACTTAAGGATAGTCCATGAAGGGGTTTTGCTTGGATTTTATTCATGCTATTCTCGCTCTTACTCCCCATTCCGCCCAGCAAAACAACGCGTACGTCTTTAATCAATTATCTAGTTGAAGTAACTGTCTTGGATGATGCTTGTCCTCTCTCGGGAGGGCACTTTACACTTTCTTTCGATTACGGGGTTTATTCGAATATGAAATCCAATCTTGGAAAATAAGTCGTA